TGGGTCTGGCCAGGGGCCAACAGAAATTTGTGGACACTGAAGTTTGAATTGATTTATTTTCGTGTGTCACACATTACTATTGTTCTTTTGATTTTTTCCAATCATTAAAATGTATAAGAACTAAAAGAAATACAGTGGCACCTTGGGTCATGAACTGAATTTTTTCCATGATTCTGGGGAAGATGGCTAAGTTCGTGTTTGTCACCCGATAGGGAGTTCGTGAACCAAGGTACTGCTGTATTTGAAAGTATTTTTGTTGTGTGTGTGGCCCTGTTCTCAGAGCTTCCTGGGGTAACCGTGGCCTTGCTCGGGTCAGCAGCAGAAGCTGAGGCCTGCAGAGAGTATTGCCTAGTGTTAGATGAAATCTTTCTTATCAAGTAGTGCCAACCTTGCCCTTTAACTCCCCTGACTGCTCTTCAGCATTGTGTCTGGCATGTAAATCCGCTGGCCAGCTCTGTGCTGGTCTTGGAGTTTTCCCAGTTCTGCCGTGCATCACCCATCTGCTCCAAAGCCGTGGCTCAGTCTGACCCCTGTGCCCGCCACGTGGGTCCCACACACCACTTGGGCACAGGTGTTTTGGCTGCTGCCTTGCTGGCTGCTGAGCCAGTACTCGGCGCTTCCTGCCCCGCAGTCCCTGTGACCCGGGTCATGACACCGGCAGGTTCTGCCAAGGCGCTAGCCAGCGCCGTGGAGCCCTCGGTCAGCGCTGATTGCAGGTTCTTTCAAGGCAGTTTTGCAACAAATAGGCTTATGTCTTCTATTTGTAGTAGCTATGGAAACGCTCGGAAGCCTCTGTCCAAAGCTGAGCGTACAATAAAGCACTTCAAGTGTTGGTAGGATTAGAGACTTGGGAAGATGTTTAATTTTCTCCCTGACTCTTTCTTGCTCACTGCCTCCTTCGGGAGGGACAAGGGGGCAATGTGAATATTAACTGGGACTTGCTTTAGTCTCCCTCATGACCCTGTGGACCGACTAGGTCCTCATCCACCCTCCGGCCTCCTAACAAGGAGCCATGCATATTCATGACCCGGGGCTGGGATCACACACATTCTTAGGCTGCATCTCACAGTGTTCCCCTTCTGACTCAGTTTTGTGCAAGGGCCCTTTTTTCTGGCCAATGCGTGCTAAGTCACAGTTAGGCAGGAGTGAGACACTGTGCTGCCCTGTTGCACGGGAGAGTGACTGTAGATAGTGGTGGCACATACTGTGTTTCAGAGAGCAGACAGAAGAGTCCTGAGTCCTGTAGAAATGGCAAGTGTTTGGGGGGGTGGGTATGTTTGCCCAGCTCTAAATATCATATAACGTACACATGTATTGAAGCAGCATTCAGTACCCCGTATTTATGTGCAGTTTTTATGTCTTTGTGTATCAGTTTTAAAAATTAAGTTAAAGAATGAGAACTACAGCCTAATACTGGATAAAAATAATACCCTCAATTTCTAAAAAAAAATTTAGAAAGGAATAACTATAAAAAATGGATTTTGAATCTGAAACCCTGGACAGTAGTACCCAAATCTCTCAGTGGATGTTCGGATAAGCAGGGGATCCTTGAGTGGCACTGCCACACAGGTGAGCCACCGCACTGCTAGTGTTCACCGGGGAACACAGGGCACTTCCTGGAGTCTGCAGCACCCAAACTCCAGCCTCACGACATCCTCCTCAGGACCGCCACTGACAGGCACAAGTATAAACATCCACTTCAATAACAAGGGCTGTGCTTCGCCATCCCTCACTTCTGCTTTTCAGGGTGCTGCAGAGTCGGCTCCAGCGCCCCTCCCCACACCTCCACATCTCTCTGCACTTGGAATGTCTCTTCTGCTTGAGCTTCACCCTGTTTCTGTGAAGTTGCTGATCCTGCGACGTTTGTCCCAAAGCGGTTGCCGCAAGATCCAGCTGCGGACAGTCTTGTTTCCCTGGCCCCCTTCTCCCTATCAGTGATAATAGGCATCATGCCAGTCTCTTCTGCAGAAGTCAACCACCAAACTCTTCGAGGCGGAATCGATAATAAAATGTCACGCTAACAGTGTTCTCACAAAGCACAATAGAAAAATGCCCCACACCCCTGCCTGAGGTGCACAAGATGGAAATCACTGTTGCACCCCATCCACATGGGAATTCTGTCGTTTGGTTTCTGGTGTTCTGGTCCAGCTTCCTTGCCTGGGTCACACTCGTGTTGGCCTACTTCCCCTTAATCCATCAACCTGGCAAAGCCTGAGTCAGGAAACCATAGACGAAGCGAGCAGCTGCAGCCTGTATAGGTCGCTGCGCCCCACCGCACGGCGCGCTTGCCTTTGCATGGCCAGCACCACACTAGCTTAAAGGAAAGACAGGTGAACAAGACACCAGCTGTCGCATTACAAGAAGTTCACAGTCATGAGCGCAGACAGAAACACAAACAAGCAGTCACTGCTTACATGATTTCAGCAAACACCTATTGAGCTTGGCACTGTGTGCAGGGAATTGGACTGGGTGCTGGGCACATGGAAACGCACCCCGTGCTGCTCCTGCCCTTGGGGTGCTCACACACACACACACACACGCAGGCAGGCAGGTACAGTGTAATAGGACGAGAGTGGTCTGGAAACCGGCGGCAGGTGCAGCCAACCTCAGCTGGGTCGAGGGACCCCAGGATGCTAACCAAGAGAAGTCTTGCTGGAGGAGGTGGTACTCAGTGCACCCTGGTAGAAAGGAAACAGCTGGTGCCCGTGCAGGCCAGCTCCTGGGTGGGGTAGACAGCCCATTGATGTGAGGGGACTCTCCTGGCGAGAGATGTGTCAGGCCGTGGTGTGAGGGGACTCACCCCCAGTGGGTGAGGTAATTGATAACATGAAGGTCTGGGCGTGGTGCTGTCATTTGCAAGGGTGTGGGATTCTTCAGTGACCCAGCGACTGGCCCCCATTGCAGGAGCTCACAGTGCACCCTTGGGAGGCTCAGGTCCTCCTCTTCCAGTTATGTCCCAACCAATAACCAGGAAGCTTCAGAAAGAAGGAAATGCCTTGCTTCTGTCACTTACAGTTACACACACGGACCCAAATCCCCCACTCACACACTTGCGTGTCTGCATTCACCTCTTCATATTTGTTCCCTGGTCAGTTCTTGTCATAGCCAGTGGCCCCCTTTTTTTCTGCAGAAAGGGAGAAAGGGAATTTGTGTGATGATAGTGTCATCCTGCGTGAATTATTACCCGCTGCTGTGAAGCGGACGCTCAGTTGAGACTGCCAGACACCTGGAAACCGCACTTCTGTTCCCTGTACTGGCACATAGGAGAGGTTTGGTGACTGTGGAAAAGGGGAATATTTAGAGTAAGGCTTTATGCCGCTGAACAATTCTATGGGTTGTGACTACAAAAGAAACACACCCTTATAAAGGACCTGGGCTTTGTCACGAAGGGTGACAGACAAATGGCCAGATGAGAAAGGACGTCCCCGCCATGGGTGACTCAGTGTGGCGTCAGCATCCGTTGGGCAGACGGTGCCTCTCCTTGGCCATCTGGGCAAGGCCAGTTGTTTATACACACAAGTGGTTATGGTGATAAACCTTCAAAGACCCGTCGGGACGTTCACCCAGCGGTCATGGTTGGGCCTCTTCTGGCGCCTGTGTCCAGGCCCCAAGGCCACACGCACACATGGGCCCGTGTTGTGCCTGCCTGGTTGGAGGAGCTGGGATAGGCAGGCCAGGCTGGGCCATGCTTGAGGCGTCAGGGCCTTCCCATGGGCATCCAGGAGGGCTCAGCAGGATTGTGAACCAACTTAGGTGCCCTTCAGGGTCTAGACTGGAGAAACCTTCAAAGCCTCCAAACCCTCTTGAATACCCCTGCTGTTGATGTTTCAGCCATCTGACTTGCATGGAAATTTCATTTCTGCTGCTTTCTATGAGGTTACTGAACCAGATTTTTAAAAATAAACAACAAAAAAAACCTAGCTAGATTCATTCCCTTTCTCAGATAACTGCAAGAAAGATCCAGCAGCTTTGTGGCTTCTTACTTTAGGCTGGGGAAGTAGAGGTGACCCAGAAGCAGTCCTTCCCATGGTGTGGGGCACCACGCAGACCAGAGCTTGGCTCTTTAGCAGTTGATCTGATACCGTTTGGTTGTGGCACTGCCCAAGTGGGTGCCTCTGGTCATCCCAAGGGGAAAGGACTTCCTTTTCTGATGCCCCTACCCGTGGGCAGGCAGACTGCTTTCTCTGGAAGAACTGTTTATAAGAATCCCTCCCTCAGCCCCGTCATCCTCTCCAGACCAGGGCACGGTACCCCAGCCCCGTCCCCAGTGGTCTCTTAGGGGCCCTTGGCTCCTGCTGTTGAACGTGGGTCCTTATAACCATTTCCATGAGATCCTTTGTTGAAGGCAGTGCAGTAACAGTTGGTGATTTCCCCAGGGCCCCACAACCCCTGGCAGCTAAGCCTGATTCCTCAGTAAATAATGCAGCAGTGCTGCGATAGTCTTCCTGGCTGTCTGCAGTTAGAGGTGCAGGACAGTGAGTGGGACAGTTCAGTTGAGGTCCAGGCACAGGCAAGCAGCGAGTGTCACATGCTTTGTGAAGCTTGAGAATTGAAATCTGTCAGAGGCCTTCTAGCTTCATCTCTCAGACACTAAATGAGGGAGATGCCACAGTGACTCCTGGGAAATCATTCTTACTGATAATTAGGCTTCCTTGAAACAGAACAACTTCCTGTCTGTGCCCCAACATCTCTGTGATCAGGTCTATAGGATCCTCTTGTGTCCATAAACCTCAGTGCTCAGTGTTCCCATGCATGCATGCATTCATTCATAGGACCCTGAGGAAGCTGCTGCAGCCATCAGCCACTGGGCATCACACTTGCTGGATACAGGTGTGCATGCGTGCGTGTTGTGTCTGCTGCATGTTTTCTGCTTTGGACACATTTGTGGCATACAACCCTCTGGGAAACCTTGCCGGAGGTTGTGGATTATTGCTATCACCAGGTCCCCTGATCTGTCCTAGTCGTGCCCGTGTGCAGTTGATTCCTTCACTCGGCTGCAGTCCTGACCCAGTGGGTGGTGTATGCCATCCGCAACCTCACCGAGGACAACAGCCAAAACCAAGATCTGATCGCCAAGCTGGAGGATCAGGGCCTGGCAGATGCCTCGCTCCTCAAGAAGATGGGGTTTGAAGTTGAAAAGAGGGGGGAGAAGCTGATCTTGAAGTCCACTCGTGACCCCCCGCCACGGTAAGGGTCCTTGTGTGGGCTGTCTTATGTTTGGTCACAGGGCTGTTCCCACACCCTCCAGTGTGATCACCCAAGAGGACCCTGAAGCGGGCTTCGGCAGTTTGTTCAAGCTTTATGTTGCCTCTTTCTTCAGAGGGTTAAATTGTCAAGCTCTTCCTGGGGGAGAAATATAGAAAGCATACCAGAATTTATCCACAGTCTAAGCTGGGGATAGTGGTACATACCCATACTCCCAGCTGCTGAGGAGGCGGAAGTAAGAGGATCAAAAGTTTGAGGCCAGCTTAGGTAACTTGGTGAGACTTGGGGAGAAAATAAAAAGGCCTGAGTATGTGGCTCAGTTGGGAGAGTATTTGCCTACCATGTGTAAGGCCCTAAGTCCAATTCTTAGTACTGCTAAAAGGAAAAGAGAAAGTTACACATGGTCTAAAGTACATTTCTGATAGAAATTAGGTTTTCTGTCAAAGATAACTGATGTTCACTGCCATTAAAGAAGCAGAAAACCCCTTGTATGACATTGGATGTGCTGTTTCAGGTTTCTGCTGGTTACATGTGAGCATTGTTCAGACTTCTGCGGTTTTGCCCTGTCTGATGATTCTCATTGTATTTTTTCATTGTGCTTCCTTTTCTTCTTAGTGATTGAACTCTCCACCCAAACATCTGAACTCTCACAATGTGTTTTGTGGAATTTTCATCCTCGCAGTATACGAAACTGCAGGTGTCTGAAGATGTCCAAGTCCACCTTTGGGAACCTCTGAATCCTTTAGGTAATAGAGCTCAGTGTGTGCGAGCTATAAGTGAAAGTGCCCAGTTTTGCTTTCTTTGTGTGCATTCAGTGTAACTGTCTGTGTGCCTTTGTCCCTTGGGTAGCGTATGCGTTTGCGTTGTAGGCCGTACTTAACTGTGGCAGCAGATAATAAATCTTCTCTCGGGGGTGCAGCCCTCATTTGTCAAAGCCTGGGCCGTCTGCTTGCATTCTGTGCGTCATTTCAGATGGAAGTCACTCTGCGCCCTCACCTTGCCTCTCCTCGTTGGGTTTTCTGAATGCTGGCAGCCAGTTGAAGTAGTTTCTCACTGTGATTAATTCTAGCACGCTCTTTTCACCCCTTCTGCCTTTCCAAAACATTGACAAGACTCATTTCCAGTTAATTAGTTCGAGAACCCACCCTCCTCATGTTAGATGCTGTGTTGTCACTGAGCCCTGTCCTCTGGAATGTGGGGGAGTGAGGGTGCGGACTGTGGGCCCTTAACTCTTCCCGTCCCAAGTCATCTCACAGTCAAGGAATTTGCCCCATCCAGCTAAAGGTGAAGACCTGCGTCTGACCGACCTTCACGCCCTTGTTATAGAGGAAACAATATTTTTATCTACTGCTTGGTGTCTAGCTTTCCATCTCCCTGCCTCCGCTTCACGTCTTATCACAAGTGGAATGGATGAAGGAGCACTAACTCTTCGTAACTACCTGGATCGCCAGGAAAATGGCCAAATGAGCGAGTGGTCGCACCATGATCGCCTAGCACGAAACTAGTAGATTCAGATTTTTTTCATAACCCCTGTGTTAAAACTTCTAAAACAAGCACAGTGGAGACCCTACCAAAAGTTTTATGAGCTAAAATAAATGCTTCTAAAATAAAATGCTTCTGAGTTTCTTGGTAGCCATGCTCGATTCGCTTTGCAAGAACAACCTAAGCCTGTTGAGAGGGAAACAGCAGCGCTCCCGTATGCCATCCAGGGAGCTTGCGTGACTGTGAGGAAACGGTAGCTTCTGGCATTGCGGCACTCTATGAAATACCCTTTCCCCCTTGTGTTTGTGACGTTTTACCTGCAAAGAAGCCACCACAAAATGTAAAACATGTCAAGAAGTCACGGTGTTCTGGGCCATGAAGAGTTAAAATCCCCCTCTCCTAGAGGCCTGGCCAAAGGCAAAGCAGTAGGAGCCCCTTTTCCCTCTTAACAAGTTTGCAGCAGGCATTCTTTTCTCCTCTCTCAATGGATGTGTGCACACCAGTGGAATCACACAAACATGTCGCTGGGAGCCGTATAATAACAAACACGCATCGATAAAAGGGAGCCTTGTGAGAATGCGGAGCGGGGTGTGGCCTTGTGTTCACTAAATAGGAAATGTGGGGCTTGCATGGTGAAAACACGCCACCGACTGCTTTGTGGCTGCTTTTGATTCCCTCGGGAGATGGATTCTCGAGCACAACAGCCCGCCTGTGCTCCCGCAGTGGCCTGAAGCTCCTGGGAACCGTGTTGTACATGCTGCTGAGGATTAAGTCACCGCCTCAATCGGGCATTTAGAAGGGAAGAAAGCAGCCCAGCCCGCGGAATTTGTAAAGAGACAGAATGGTCACAGCGAGTTTTGTGATCGTATTGTTGTCAAGAGCAAACCAACAAAGCTTTTGGCCTGCTTCGCTTTAAAAGGTGGAGAAGAAAGGCTCTCTGCTTGACAGCGAGCTTCTGCAGAACAGTTATTTTGTAATGCTGTAGCTATGGAGAAGGCTTCAGAAATATTTATTTTGATCATTTTAATACTACACTGTTAATTAGGTCCATATTGATGCATCTCACAGGGTGGGGGTTATTTAGAAACATACTTTTGTTCAGTACTTGGTGATCTGACCATGGGGTTTTGGGAACTACTAAGATGGGTTTGTTTGTTAAAATGGGATATGGAGAAGGAATGGAGGTGGTAGGTGGGCTACCAGTTAGCAAGTTTTAAATAAAAAATTAAGGTTTTATGTACATGTGTGTGTGTTACACTCATTGTTTTTTGAAGTCATCATCTGCTACTGTAATACCACTTGGCATTTAATTTTATTCAAATTACCCTTACTGTCTTTAATTTCTGTCCTTGAATGAAATTTTTTGTTTCAAAATGCCGAGTTCTGTGGGAGGAATATAAAAAAAAAGTGCTTGCCATCATCAGCAAGTTCTGCACACAATCAATTTTTACGTGAGAAGCAGCCAAATTGAAACAGAATTTTTAAATGCAGAATAGTTGAGGAAGAACTTAATACTAAGACCTAATAAAAAACCATTCCTTTGATCAGGAAAAGGCCTCGAAAGTGCTGTCCAAGGTTCTGATCACTTCAGCTGCATTCTCACGTTATACAGAAAAGAGTTCAAAACGTGGTTTGCAATAGTCATTTTTCCCCTGTGACACAGGATCTGTTTTCCTCTTCCATACACATTTTTCATATATGTGTGTTTATTTTTAGGTCAAATACAGCACAATAAGAATGTAGTGAACTACTTACAGTATACAATACGTGTCAGTGTTTAAGCCGAGATTTTTCTGTGGACTTAGTGCATATCAGCTCTTTCATCAGACTTCCTTGTCACAGCCAGAAACACTTGTGTTCATGGAAAAAGCTGCAGCTTTTTGATAATCGTGTGTGTGTGCTTAAAGTAAAACCTTAAATTACAAACACTGTTACAAATTTTTTGTTTAAAGAACATAATATATATTCATCATTTACCCAGAAAGTTGTGCTATGTTAATTTTCACATCAGTTAAGCGAGAGCTTGAGTGAGGGTGAGAATCCAGTCTGTACGCCTGTTGGCAGCCCTTTGAAGACATGCTGGCTCCCTGTGCCCCTGACCTCATCACTGAAGGTGGGGCTCGTAGGAACGAATCAGAACACAAATTATTAGACGTAAAGCGCTTGGTTCCAATATTAATCCCATCAAGTGGATGAGAAATCAGCGCCCAAGGTCACACAGCAGCGAATGCTTAATGACTAAATGGTGCAGTTAATTGGAAGGGAGTGAGCAACAAAGGCTTAGGGTTTTTTTTCCTGGGAGCAAGGGAAATAAGTGCAACTGAAATGCCTGGAGCAGGTTGCCCTGTACATAGAGCAAGGGATGCCCTGGGGAAGAACATACACTTTGCAATCGGGACAACCAGAGTTTGAATTTCAATCACCTCCTGCTAGCTGTGTAGCTTTGAACAAGTTGCTTCACCACTCTGAGCCTAAACTCCTCCTCAGGGAGCACCAGGCACAGGGGCCATTCAGCAGCAGAGTGACAAGACTCAAAGGTTTTAAACAGTCCCTCTGGCTGCCCATTAGAAAGTAAACTAGATGGGGAAGAGGAAGTAGAGAAGCAACTCAGAGGCCACTGGAACTGGTGGCTTAGACCAGCCTGGTGGCAGTGGGAATGAGAGAGATTTAAATTGATTCGTGTTGAGGAGAATCCATTGAATGTGCTTGAGGGTTGGTTATGGAAGGCAAGAGTAAGTGAAGTGAGTATGAATAACTCCTGAGATTTACTGGACAGCTGGGCAGAGGTGGTGGAAACCAGTGTGAAGAGTATTCTCAGGGTGTGCTTTATTTAAGGAAAACAGAATTCAGAGTTCTACCTTGAGCAAATTCAGTTTGAGGTGCTTTTAAGACACCCAAGTGGAAATGACCGGTGACAGCAAATGAGTGTCCACAATGAGCTCGGGAGACAGGTCACATCTTGAAGCATGTTTGGGGTCACTGCCTTCACATGCAAAGTAGCTCAGTGCTCCCGGAGTTTAACCTTTAGTACAACAAAAGATTAAAACTATACATACACACACACTAGAAAGAGTACAGTAAGGTTGCTGAATACAGGGACAATATACAAGGGTTCATTGAATTTCTACAAATGGGCAACACAAAGTAGAAAGTAATTTTTAAATTGTAAAACGTGCAAAGATGGGAAAAATGCTAAGGTACTTGGAAGCAAGAGCCAGGAGGCATGCGGCCTGCAGAGAGCAACAGCTCTGTATCAGTCAGTATCCACCTACAGGGGTCTGTTTCTGGAGGCTGTGTGTGTGTGATCTGTTTATCTTGCTGGTGTCAGGACAATACTATTTTAACAAATCATGCTGTTGACTGTTTGATACCTAATAGAGCAGTGTAACCCAGGAAAGCCAATGGTACGAGTTCCTGTCTCAGGGCCAGGGCAGAGTCCCAGTCCAAGGATAGGAAACTGATGTTTCACTCAGGGTGCCAAGCAGAGGCTTCCGTGCCCCCTCAGTGGCTCAGATGATGCCCACACCCTGTGGAAGGTATCCAATTCACTGTTCTGGTCCACATGCTCATCTCCATAGACACACCCAGAATTATTACCCACACTTGGGTGTCCTGTGACCAAGTTGACACAAGTCAGACTCCACCCGTTCACTCTTTGTTAACTTGGCCCCCGTATGCATCTCCATAAGCCACACTCATCTTCAGATCAAGAAACAACAGGGTCACCGTCCTGCCTGACATGATCTGAGAACCTGCAGACATCTTTCAACATGAACTGGCCCACCAGGAGGGAAGGTCAAGTCTTGAGTGATGTTTACTTATCTGCTTGATGTCCTGGAACTTTGATATGAGATTAACAGTTAATATAAAGTAACACAAAGTCCACACATCTTAGGTTGCATGCTAAGAGAATAAGGGAGACAATGAGGGTGGCTGCTGTGCTGTGTCTAATATGAATAATTATGTAAGTGCTGTATGCTGTGCATCAGTTCAAAATATTCACCCTTAAAATTCTGTTCCTCTAGAATGACTTTCAGTACAGAAATCTGTAGTCAGCGTACTCTAGAGGGTCAGAACAAATAGGTTAATCTGGGTGCAGACAGGCTTTTATGAAGACTTGGTTCGTGGAATGATGGAGACTGGCAAATACAGAGATTTTGATGGGTAGGGTGGAGACCCAGAAGAGGCCACAATACAGCTCCCACCCTAGAAGGAGCGGGTGTTGCAGTTCGGGTCTGAAGGCAGAAAAACAGTGTGCAGCTCACCTGGAAATGTGTCGCAGTCACAGTAGCAGTGCCTAAACATTTGGCACTAGTCAAGTGGACACGTGAAATGCACCCTCAGCGTCTGTGTCCTGTGAGGCTCATGAGGTGTGGATGTGCACACAACTCTTGCAACTGGAAACTCCACAGGGCCATCTAAAACCTTGATTCCCTGAGCATCCAGCCCCTA